CCGGCCATGGATTGAGGGATGATTTGATGAGTCGATCCCACCAAACCGGATTGGAACTCGCAACCTTCCCGGATGACGTTCGCTCGCTCCATCTCCTGCTGCGCTCTGCCTGGTGGATCCGTAATCGGTAAACCGAGTAATTCGCCGACTCGTGAGCTCTGATGCCGAAGCCGATAAGAAAGCGAGTCCAATATCGGTATTGATAATTATTGCCCTTGATGGTCTACATATTTGTTAACTGTAATTAGTTCTGTGTACATTTTATACATCTAAATTGCGATCTATTTATATAGAGTTACCGTATTATGCAGATTACAAGACGCTCCGAAAAGTAGCACGCAGTCAAAAGCTTGTGCCCGATGTCAATGAACTCGTACGGACATCGTCACAGGCGAACGCACTCACACACGCACACCCCACTCACTGAAACACGCACACCCTCACACTCACTCACACACGCACACTCACACACTCACTCACGCACACTCACACTCACTCACACACTCACTCACACACGCACACACATACACGCACACAACAAAGATCCCCCGTATAGCCTGAACAGACTGTAGGGGCAAGTGCTGTTAGCGAGCACCTATGAAGGCCGGAACGGTACACGAGGGGGTGGCTGGCCAGCACCACGCCCGACCGCCTTTGTCTCCCTAGTGGCGATGTTTACACACCGCACCAGGTACTCATTTAAGGATGAGTCGACCTAGGGGATGCCCAGGACCGGTTCATATAATCGTCACTGGTGTTAGCCGTGAGCGGGAATCGAACCCGGGTCGCCAGGTTCATAGCGCAGCGCGCTAACCGCTACACTACCGCTCCCCACACTCACTCAAACACGCACACTCACACACGCACACCACACTCACTCAAACACGCACACGCTCACACATGCACACTCACTTACACACACGCACATTCACACATACACACGCACACTCAGTAACCCACACATGCGCGCACTCACACACTTACTCACAAGCACACTAACTTAAACACGCAGACTCACACACGCACACACTCACACACGCACACTAACATACGCACACCCCACTCACTGAAACACGCAGACTCACTTACACACACTCACTTATACACACACTCACACACACACGCACACTAACTTACACACACACGCGCGCACTCACACACTTACTCACACGCGCACACAAAGACAAAGATCCTCTGTATAGCCTGTAAACAGACTGTTGGGGCAAGTGCTGATAGCGAGCACCTATGAAGGCCGGCACGGCACAGGATGGGGTGGCTGGCAAGCACCACGCTTGGCCGCCTTTGTCTCCCTCGTGGTGATAGTTATACATCGCACCAGGTACCCATTTTAGGCTGAGTCGACCTAGGGGAGGGCCAGGACTGGTTCAGATAATCGTCACTGGTGTTGGCCGTGAGCATGAATCGAACTCCGGTCGCCGGGTTCATAGCGCTAACCACTACACTACCGCTCCCCACTCACACACGCACTCACACACGCGCGCACACACACTCACACACGCACACACGCACACTCACACACGCACGCACACGCACTCACAAACTCACACACGCGCCGACTCGCACACGTGTGCACACACGCACACACACTCACACACGCACTCACACACTCACACACACTCACACACACTCACACACGCACACACACACACACTCACACACGCACACTCACACGCACACTCACACACACACACTCACACACGCGCGCACTCACAGACAAACACTCACACACGCTCTCACACACTCACACACACACTCACACATACACACGCACTCACACACACGCACACCTACCGGATTATAAGACGCAGCCCGTGCGGAACACAAGCCTGCAGGGCGACTGGAGTGGCGGATAAAGCGGACTACAAAGTCATTTCATCAACATAAACGCGATTACATATTTATATTTTTGTTAAGTGATTCGGGAACGTTATTGTATTGCCGGGAGCGGCGTCGTTGTGGTTGGCACAATGCACTCTGAATCCGTTCGATTCCCGATCACGGCTAACATCAGTGGCGAGTGATCCTCTGTAGCGATTCCATCGAGGTACCGTTACATCCTTCAGCAACCCGCATTGACCAGCGTGGTGAAGTATGGTCGAACAATCCCCAGGCCTTCATCCAACATTGGGCATCGTTAATGTAGCTATGCAAACAATCCTACTCGTGTATACGTATAAGGCGCCGTGTCTGAACATAATAACCCATAGTTTGCAATGAGATGTACGACTTACATGTATTTATAATACATGTAAAGGTTATACATTATGTAATATACTCATGCACAAGTGCCATATACACAGCGTTCAGACTGCTATATCGTCAAAGTCTATGCATATCTACATAATCATTAATTATACATGGAGTTGTTTGTATTTGATATGTGCCGTGTTTGTGTCTGTGTATACATATATACACTTATTTAGTCGTTACGTAAATCCAATGCTGGATTTATGGGGGAGCGAGGGGGCAATTCGACCATACTTCACCACTCTGGGCCAGTTGCACGTTCGTGAACAGAAATCGATTTTAATAAGCTCCCCTCTGATTATTATTATTGGCCATAAGAGCAACCTATAACACCTGTTATGCATCCAGGAGCGATCCAGGACTCCAACCCGGCTTCGCTTTCGAGATCACGAGCCTATTACGCGGAGTGAATTGCTCATATGCGGGATATTTATATAAACAGGTCCCTACAAATAAACATCAAAGTCGCTCTGTGGTGGAAATTCCACGTTGCTGTGACGGTGCCCATGAAAAAAAACATACACAACCACTAATGACGTCTACGTGCACTGTGAGTTACTGTGGGTTGCACAGACCGTAGATATCCGCGGCAGTTGTGCACGTACGTTGAACTTCTTTTGCACCGTACGTAGCCAACTGCTCTAATCGGAGGTGCGGGGGGAAGGACAACAGACTACACGCGCACAAAAAAATATACAGCTCTAAAAGAAATGAGTGTCCAACCCAGATGATTTAAAAGTGCACGGCTCCAGCGGATTTCTAATATCGGACGGGATTTTTTTGTTGTTGTGTTTAACGTCAAGAACTTTGTCCTCTAAAATTAATGAGTGTCCAACCCAGATGATTTCAAAGTGCACGGCTCCAGCGGATTTCTAATATCGGACGGGATTTTTTTGTTGTTGTGTTTAACGTCAAGAACTTTGTCCTCTAAAATTAATGAGTGTCCAACCCAGATGATTTCAAAGTGCACGGCTCCAGCGGATTTCTCATATCGGACGGAGTTTTTGTTTTTTACGTCAAGTGCTTTGTTCTCTGTTTTATTCGCGTAAACCCTAAGGGTAGCCGTGGCACGCCAGCGTTCCCGTGAGCGAGTCCCGCCTACCCCTGCAAGCGCTGAAGAGCATCAAGACACGAGCACGCTTACCCTGGCCACCCGAGTTCACGCCGAGTTACACAGAATCAAGTTGAAACGTGACCATGGCTGCTGCTGCTGCTGATGATGATGATCTTCTCATGAAGAACTCGAGATGGGAGACCATCATCGAGCAGTGGATTGACAACGCGCCTGGCAGTGTGCTTGTGCGTGTACTCTAATGATATTAACTGGGTGAAGAGCTAAGTTGCTACATGACTGCTGCACTTAATAGACATCAGGGTGCAACAGTAGGGTGGCAGTCGCCTCCGTATCACTCTTCTATCGCAACTACTGCTGCTGCTGTGACTATCGTTCCCATTAACTTCGCTCGTTGGTTCCTCCTCCATCCACGGCGAAGATTCGGTCGGTCTCTGTCAGACGCTGAATTGGTTCGACTCTCATCGACACTGCAGGCCATAACAACACGCTCACGCACCCGCTCACCAACTCACTCACTCACGAACTCAACCACGAACTCACTCACTCATTCACGCACACGCTCACCCACCCACTCACTCACCCACTTGCTCACCCACTTACCCACCCACTCACGAGCTCACTCACCCACTCACCCACCAATTCACCCACTCACTAATTAACTAACTCACTCACCCATCATCTGCCAAGCTCTTATCACAAATGGCTAATTTCAAGAAAAAATATTAACTGTGAGAGTGCTGTTTGTAGCCTTTGTCTCCCCAGTGCTGATGTTTACACAGCGCAACAGGTTCTCAATTGAGGCTGAGTTGACCTAGGGGAGGCCCAAGACCGGTTCAAATACTCGTCACTGATGTTGGTGGCCTTGAGCGGAAATTGAACTTGGGTCATTGCCGGGTCCATAACACGGCGCACTAACCACTGCGCCACCGCTCTCCACAATACATGTGCACACCCGTACAAAGACAAAGATCCCCCGTATAGCTTGAGTAGACTGGTGGGGCAAGTGCTGTTAGCGAGCACCTATGAATGCCGGCAGGGCGCACAATGGGGGGGTGGGTGGCCAGCACCACGCGCGGCCGCCTTTGTCTCCCGAGTGGCGATGTTTTCACACCGCACCAGGTACTCGTTTCAGGCTGAGTCGACCTAGGGGAGGCCCATGACCGGTTCAGATAATCGTCACTGGTGTTGGCCGTGAGCGGGAATCGAACGCAGGTCTCCAGGTTCATATCGCAGCGTAGCGCTACCTGCTACACTACCGCTCCCACACATACTCACACAGACACACACACAAAAATCCCCCGTATAGCCTTAACAGACTGTAGGGGCAAGTGCTGTTAGCGAGCACCTATGAAGGCCAGAACGGTACACGAGGGGATGGGTGGCCAGCACCACGCCAGACCGCCTTTGTCTCCCCAGTGGCGATATTTTCACACCGCACCGGGTACTCATTTCAGACTGAGTCGACCTAGGGGAGGCCCAGGACCGGTTTTGATAATCGTCACTGGTGTTGGCCGTGAGCGGGAATCGAACAGGTTCATAGCGCAGCGTAGCGCTAACCGCTACACTACCGCTCTCACACATACTCACACAGACACACGCACTCACACAGACGCACACAGACTCACACACGCGCACGTGAGTGAGTGACGCCTCCTACCTGTGCGGCGTGAGGGTACGAGGAGTAGGCGGCCGATGCTGCGCTGAGGTAGGCGCGGGCCGGCGGCCCGTACGCATGGTACATCACATCGAGACAACTCATTACTCCGCTCAGCGACTCAGACACTGGCGGAGCGAGATGCGCGGGGGGGGGGGGGAGAGAGAGACGTGACCCCCCTTCCACGCAGAACTCAGCTTCTGTCTCTGTGTGCCCCCCCCCCCCCCCCACGACAAAGGCCCGCGACTTAATCACCCCTCTCAACTTCGCTCCCCTACTCTGGAGCCGCGGAGAGTTTTCAATCGATCGCCCCGTTCCTCACGAGGGTCGGGTCCAGTGCTGTCCTGTTGTGGAAAGAGCGCGATGGGTCTAGTAGTAGTAGTCTTAATACTAAAGAACGTCTCCTTAATTGGAAACTCCTAAGTGGCAAGGAGCAGCGTCTTAATGATGATGAGTTCTGTTCGTCGAAGAGGCGGCGTTTTTCACTGTAATTAACGGAGGTGTTTTCGATCGCGGATGCGAAGTCCTTGAACTGCAGGAGTGGTGGTGGTGGTGGTGGGGGAGTGTTTACGGCGCGATCCTGCCAACTTCACGCGCGAAGCGCAAAAACAACACCAGCCGAAACAGCGACTTCGAATTGGCAGGAGTAAGTCGGCTTAGATGACGGCGGCGATGTCTTCCTAAGATCTTCAACGGACAATCGACAACAACAAAAAGAAAATCATTCCGCGAGGAATGTCGTCTTCTAATTACAGGATGGTCGCTAATTGCTCGAGTGGGAAAATCTTCCAAATTCTGGGCGGCGGTGGGGGTTGGTGGTGGTGGTGGATTGAAGCGTCGGACCCGTCGCGCTCGCTGCCTTCAAATTCCAAGCCCGTGACGTCTTCTAATTAGGCGACGTGGCCACGAGCTGCCTAATTGCTCCAAACAAAAACAAACAGTTGACGTTGTCGTTGTTGTTGTCGTTGTTGTTGTTGTTGTCGTTGTTGTCCCTCTCTGTCTCATCGCCTTCGTCGCGAGTTCCGTGACTCCTTCTCCCGCACGCGTTGAGCTCCAAAAATAACAAAAAAATAAAAAATGCGCGCGGCTCCAGCAAGAGAAGATGCACGCGCTCTGTGTAACAACGACGACGGCAAGGATGATGCTGATAGACACTACGGACCCTTAAAAATGGATGTATCGATGGACGAGTTCGAACGCGCGTTCTCTCCGTGCGGACGGATCGATTTACGGGTCCCGCGGTTCCTCGCCCGCGCCGTCTCCACTGCGGGGTCCGTGCGTCTCTCGATCGCGTGTCCGTCTCGCTGCCTCTCGCGTCTTGTGCCCGAGGCAGCGGCAGCAGCAGCGACGTAGGCCGACGGACGCACTCACCACCACCCCGTCGCCCGCATTCCCTCCCTCCCTGCCTCCGCTGCCTCTCCTCCCCTCTCACCCCTCTTCCTCCCCCTTCCCTCCCTCCCTCCACATACCCTCTCACATCGCACAAGCCTCACCCTGTCCAACAGCGCACACACACACACCACCATCATCACCACCTCTCACCCAACCACGCGCGGGCCAGACCAACCAACCATGCCGACAGAAATCGGCCACCCCCCCCCACCGCCCGCCCCCCGCCCCCCTCTCAATCCGGCACCGCTCCTCCGCCTCCTCCTGGCGGCTGCTGCTGCTCACCGCAAGGAATGCTTCGCAATGCATCGATTCTACGTGCGGGTGAGTACGGACCGTGTTGTTGTTGCTGATCAAAGGGGTGACACGGGGGTGGAGGGGGGTGGTTGCTTTGCTCAAACCAATGTGGACATGGAGGGGGTGTAGATGGGGAAGGGGGGGGGGGTCTTAGCCCCCCCCCCATAACCCCCTCCCTCCCCCCCTCCCACGCAGGCCGCTCATCTCCTCACCCCACCGTCACCCATCTCATTCTCTTTCGCAGTGGATGGGTGCAGTCTCTGATTACAATCCACTCTGTCTCTGGCCTATCTGTCTGTATATATACTAAAAAGAAGGGGCATTGCCCGAAACGTTGACCTTTGTACTGTTAATGTCACGGTGTGTTTCGTTGCCAAACGCGTTGATCCGTTTGAGTTTGCGTTGTCAAATTGTCTTCGCGTCCCACCGCCAAAGCAGCCGCAGCATCGGTGGCCTCGAACCCATCGAGTTTGGGTTCGATACCCACTCGTCGTTCCCGTCTCTGGGTCTCGTGGAGACGGTGACCGGCAGTTCTTGTTCGAGCAAAGCGAACTCTGGACAGGTTCCAGCAGCAGCAGCAGCAGCAGCAGCAGCAGCAGCAGCAGCAGCAGCAGCAGCAGCAGCAGCAGCAGCAGCAGCAGCAGCAGCAGCAGCAGCAGCAGCAGCAGCAGCAGCAGCAGCAGCAGCAGCAGCAGCAGCAGCAGCAGCGGCAGCGGCAGCAGCGGCAGCAGCAGCAGCAGCAGCAGCCAGACTCTGCTGATGAACACTGGAAGGGCGAAACCACTCCAGCGTTTGCCTGCTTAAAAACAAAAAATCAGCTTCATAACAAATATTGATCTGGACATCCGATGACTAATGAAGGGACGAGGTTTTACTTATCACAACTCTAGATCTACACTCTTGCTTAGTTTAAAATTATATATATTTCGGTGCAACGTTGAACAAACTTTACGGGGCACACATGTCCAAACACGTGGATTAGACCCCCCTCCCCTCCTCTCCCACATGCAACACAGAGCTGTTTGACAGTGCGTGTTCATTCACATCCAGCTTTGTGCGGGGTTAGCACTGACGACCCTTGCATGATCGTAGCCGGAAGCGAGCGTGGTCGCATCGAATGCGAGTGCTCTGTTATTTGCTCCACGCTGTGTTCTAAGTCAGCCAACACAAGCTGCTGAAGTCCGTATTGTTAGCGAGCAGCACATCTATGAAAGTCCTCCACTGCGTACAAAGGGGTGGGTGGGCCAGCACCAACGCCCGGCCGCCTTTGTCTCCCCAGTGGCGATGCTTACACACCGCACCAGGTACTCATTTGAGGTTGAGTCGACCTAGGGGAGGCCCAGGACCGGTTCAGACAATCGTCAGTGGGGTTGGCCGTGAGCGGGAAATCGAACCCGGGTGGCCGGGTTCGTAGCGCTAACCGCTGCACCACCGCTCCCCACTACACACACGCACATTGCACACAGCTTTACACGAGAGAGGCACGCGTATTTGGGCCCCACTACACACACCCCCCTCCCCCTGGTTCACTTCTCCAAGAGGCGTTTTATTTTAATGCCGTGATAAGTCGGAGGACCTGGTTTGGTGGGGTGCGGGCACACAAGCCTCTCGCGTCGCGGGACCGAACGGGGCCCAGGGAGTTCCCGCGGGGCCCAGGGAATGCCCCCAGGGCCCAGGGAATGCCCCCAGGGCCCAGGGAATGCCCCCAGGGCCCAGGGAGTGCCCGCGACACTCAGCGTGAGCGGCCCGTGACAGAGCCCAGAGCGCAAGCGCTCAAAGCTCAGAGGCGCCCCCAACTCCGAGTGAGCTAATTCTATTAGCGCGCCGACGCGCGCCCCTCGTATAAACACGTCGACCAGAAGTTGGGGGGCGAGGGGGGGGTTGGTGTAATGTATTTATAGGCATGCTGAGCATGTGTGTATTTATAGGGGAGGGGAGGAGCGGTGGCGCAGTGGTTAGCGCGCTGCGCTACGATTCCGGCGATTTCACGCGTATATACGTGTACCCATGGTGATACAACGATATTAAAAAAAAATCCTTATACATGTAAATAGTTGTACAATTAAACAAATGATTTTGTGATGCTGCTGCTGCTGCTTTGGCAGCGGTGCACAAGCACTGTCAACGAAAATAAGCTCAATACATGACGGTTATATATATTTATATATTTTATTGAAGTCACGATTTTGTTGACGTGACAAGACTATTGAGATGTTTCAATCGTTGTATAATGGTTATTTTGAAAAATATATATTTGTCATTCAATCAACAGTACCGTACTATGCTGATGATGATGATGGTGGTGATGGTGATGAATCCAGACATCCTTCAAAACGTGAATATGCGCTATTACAACGGCAGGACTCGTATGAGCGATATGCGAAAAAACATCATTTGTTTTTGAAACGAAATCAACAATGTGACGGTGGAGGCAGTCGCCCTCCAGCAACAACGCAGTAGCAACGCTCACAACAACGAGCGGATTCACCGGGCGGTGAAAAAGCAGCGAGGCGACACAGTGGGGATGAGCGCAGGTGGAGCATCTTCCTGTCACCTCAGTGAGTCTTCTTGCTCTGCCCGTGTCTTGCGTGCCAGTCCGATATTTCTCGGTCAGTGAATATATATGTGTGTGTGTGGCACAAGATGTTAACTCCCTCGCCTGGTATGCATGAGGTCGTGGGCTCGATCCCGACTCTGGCACCTATATATTTGGAGTTTGCGTGTTCTCCCTGAGGTCGCCAAGATGTTTATTTGGGTTCTCCTATTTTGTTCCTCTAAATTTAAAATCAACATCATCCGTTCAGAGTATTTGGCAGCAATACATTTCCACGCGATGACACACTTCGTTAAAGTATTATCTGTGGCCAGGTCGTTTCAGAAAAATAATTACATAGCTCAGTGAGCCATAACTGGTGAAATAAAAAAAAACATATTTTTAGTATAAATCACGGTGAGTTAATATATCTCGGTCAGTTAACCCGTAGCAAACCTGGCGGGTCTGTCCGGTCACCGTCCTGCTAGCAGCGAGCCTTGGTCACTTCACGTGGCATTTTCATGGTGCACCTAGTCTGGCACAAAAGGGCCGTGATTACGTTACATCCACACAGTTCCACAGTGGTAAGTGGCGGTAGCTGTACATGCGTATGGGTGTGTGTATGTTTGTATGCAGTAGTGGTCGTGTCGCGTGTGGAGGAGGCTCGTGAAGGACGCTACTGGGCAGTTGGAGGCAGTGGCCCTCCAACAACAACGGAGGGCGGAGGAGCGACGCTCACAACAACGAGCGGAGCGCCGGGTGGCTAAAGCACAGCAAGTTGGCACAGTAGGGGGCACAGGTGGTGCATCAGCCAGTCATCTCAGTCATCTCACCCGTGGCACCTGGGTCTTCCCCGTGACCTCCTGCCAGCGGGCGTTCGACACTTCACGTGGCCTCAAGGTGCACATAGCCTGGCACAAGCGTCGTGGTGACGTCACCGCCACTTAGTGGCGAATGGCGGTTGTTGTTGTAGCGGTTAGCGCGCTACACTACGAACCTGGCGACCCGAGTTCGATTCCACAGGCAACACGAGTGGCGATTATTTGAACCGGTCCTGGGCCTCCCCTAGGTAGACTCAACTTCAAATGAATACCTGGTGCGGTGTGTAAACATCGCTACTTGGGAGACAAAGGCGGCCGGGCGTGGTGTTGGCCACCCACCCTCGTCGTGTGCGATGCCTGCCTTCATAGGTGCTCCTTAACAGCACTTGCCCCAAAAGTCTGGTAAGGCTACACGGGGGATCTTTGTCTTTGTTTCGTGACACACGTATCTTGCAGAGTGTGTACACACAAGACCCAAGAACTCAACGAGACGTGCGGACGAGGGAAGTCTGACCGCTAGTGCTTTGCTTGAGCACGCACGCTCACCAGGAATGTCGCGCAACAGTTCCTTATTTATATTTAGAATTTATTATTATGATTATTATATTTTCTGAGCCGTTAATTATGACGATGACAATGATGGTGAAATTACAGTCCTTAGTCAATCCACTGCTAGATGAATGCCTCCTTGCCCCGCTGCACGTGTCGGATCGTTTGACCATACTTCACCACGCTGGTCATTGTGGGGGGGGGGGGGGGGGTATTGGAAGGTCGTGGCAAAGAATCAGGGCCGGTTCAGACGTTGTTCTCCCGCTGACGTTAGCCGTGGCTGTGAGTCGAACTGGCGTGGTCAGACTCGTTGCAGCTTGACATCGCCTCCGCACCGCCGCTCACATCTTCAACAGACATATAAGGGAGAAAGAGCGCGTCATATAATCCTAAAAAATACGACGGGACCGGCCTCACCGATGCTCGGGGCTCGTTCGCAGGAGGCTCCTGCTCCACTGGGATGTTGGGCTAACTCGCTGTTTATTATTGCGTGTGCTTTGCTTCGTGCGTGTGTGTGTGTCTGTGTGTGTGTCTGTGCGTGTGTGTCTGTGTGTGTCTGTGTGTCTGTGCGTGTGTGTCTGTGTGTGTGTGTACACGTGTGTGTGTGGGGAGCGGTAGTGTAGCGGTTAGCGCGCTGCGCTATGAACCCGGCGATCCGGCTTTGATTCCCGCTCGCGGCCAACACCAGTGACGAATATCTGAACCGGTCCTGGGCCTCCCATAGGTCGACTCAGCCTTAAAACGAGTACCTGGTGTAATGTGTAAACATCGCCACTGGGGAGACAAA